GATCGAACTTTATTTTCGAAGGGGTAGAGACAAAAGAGGAAAATTCTAAATATGCTTTTAATTCTTTTCATTTAATTTTCACAAATAATTTGCTAGAACGGCGAATGGCTCAGGGGATAGAGCGTTCGCCTTCCAATAAAGCAAACCGGGTTCGAATCCCAGTCGATACGAATTCCGCATCCGACTGGCACCGACCACAGTGCTGACGCGAAATATCCTCAGAGGTAGACGGACCATGGGTTAGAGTCCCCTTGCAGTCAGGCTAACCGTGGGAGGTTCTCGTGGTCTTCCTCTCCATGTAACGCAAATGCGGATTAGCTCCATCAAAAAGTCCTCCTCGAAGGCAAAATTTTTCCCAATACTTGATCCAAGAGTTTCGTTGTCTTCTGGATTGGGTTCAAAATGACAAGGCTACGGAGTTGAACATTAGTAGTCGTAAACCCATAAAATTGGGTCGGCTGTTCAACGACTGTTATAAAAAAATAATAATAATCTGTTAATGAATTTTTACTTTAATTGACAGTATTTTTCGACGCTTGTAAAATACAATCAGAAGGTGAAAAAAGAACCCGTGTGGCATTTTAGATTTTCTTTTAATTGTTTTTGACAAATTTATACCAATGCAGTTTTGAAAACATCAGTTTATAAAAGGTTGTTAAATAGTATGCACGTTTTTTCTTCTTTTTTTTTTGACAAGTATCATTGTTTTTGAACAATTATAAGAATTATATATCAGCTTCACCACATAGTTTAAACTGTTAAAAAATTAAATTTTAAAAAAAAATCCGAATTTTAAACAGTTTTTAAACGTCTTGCTCAAAACCACAATAGTTGCATAATTTTATTCTTTTAAAGTTTTGGGGAAAATTATACAAAAATTCTATGAATTATCAAGCTCCATTATTTAATAAAGCGACCCCTTTTATTTTTTACTTTTCTTAAAAGGTATTGTGCTGTCTGATAATACTGTATCATCAAAAGTTTGTTAAGTACAAGAAGACCAAAATTAAAAATTTTACGTAAAATCTAATATGGCGAGGATATAGGCCACTTAAGGCGTAGAAATAGTTTAAGATTATATGAACTTAAGTCATACTGATTAACAAAATATCATATTCATTATAAATTAAGATTATGGCATGAATTTAAGAAGGGCCAGGATAGCATGGTTGGTAGGGCACTGGGCCCATGTCCAGGAGGTCGTCGGTTTGATACCCACCGGCCGAAGAATCACCACGTAGTAAATGCTGACTGGTGCATGTTAAATCTGTCGGGTCACAAAGTCCTCCATGTTCCGATAACAAATTTTACCTCTGGGGATACTGATCCAGGAGTTTCCTTTTCTTCTGGATTACTTCAAAACTACAAGGTTACGGAGTTGAGTATTAGTAGCCATAAACCCAAAGTTGTGGCGGCTATTTAACGACTGTTTTAAAATAAGATATAAAATGAATTAAACAAAATCAAAATTAGTGCTACTTTTTAAATTCGCCAAATAATTTCGAAAGTTTAATCAACAGCCATGATACTATCTTCATTATGTTTAGTACTAATTTTGAATTAATCAGCCATATTGTCCCGGCACGGACAATAACTGAGAAAACCGTAAAAACTCGCATCCCAACATAAAAAAAATAGTTATAAAACAATTCAAAGAATAAGGAATCAAAAAAATTTTTCAGTTCTATTCACTTAAATCATTGTTCCACGAATCAGGCAAACGCAGCGAAGTGTCAGCTTTGACCTAAAAAAGGAAAAAACTCGCCAACTTGCAACACTTGGGTTTCTTCATAAGTGACCTGCCTAATAAAACATTGAGGACATTCATAGGAGTAAAAAGAAAGCAAATCGAAGCAAACAACACACAGTGGAATGATAAAAAGAAGCTTTATTCAGTACATCCTGCAATTGAAATTTACATTGCTAATCACTGAGCATGAGACGACTTGAAGATATTACATTACCTTAGACGTTGACAAAAGTATTCTTTTTTTTTTCTCTTTGGTCATGTATAATTTGATGAGTGACGCGTAAGGTTAAATTGAAATGAGGCATAGTTTTATGAAAAATCGAATGCGTTGGACTGTCATCGTTTGTTTTAAAAATTCGGTATTTATTGCATTGTTATGTAATATTCATAAATTCAGAAGGACGGTTGTTATTGTATTGGTGATTAATGGTGTATAGAGTGATTGATAAGTTTTCTAGTAGACGAAGCTTTTTTATTATTTTTTTTTTTTAATAATTATTTTTTTAAAAAAAACATCAGTTTAATTATGAGGAAAACGGAAATAAAAATGTGGGGAGAATAGTTTGGTAAAACTAAACTAGTTTCCACACATTCATGAGAACAACCTGAACATCCGGGGTTATTTTTTCTCCCGGGTAAAAGAAAACGATAATAATTAAAGAATTAGGGTTAACTTACACTGAGCTATCTGGAACAAAACTAAAAGGAATATACCTACAAATTATATCATTTAAAATAATTTCAGTTATTATTATTAGTTCCCCTGTTTGCGATTTTACTTTATTAAATTAAGAAAAACACGTTTTCAGAAGTCCCTCCCCCTTAAAAAGATAATATCTATATTATTCGGTACAGAAAGCGATTTTATTAATCATAGCCAACACAGCTTAGCAGAATTTAGCAATTTTTCTTCTGAATTTTTTCATTTGAATGTATATTTTTTTCCTTATTTTAGTTTTGGTTGGCTTTTTATTATTTATGTTTACAGAAACACGTTTCGAAAAGGGCACCTATAAACAAAAATAAATATGTAGTTTTAAACAAGCAAAGTAAATAAATCATTTGATGACGTCATTTCCATATACTGATTTTACTTGTGTTTACCTTTACTAAAATATCAATTATTAATAATGGAATACTTGCAAGTGACGTAGTGCTTGTATCTCGATCCTGATTGGTTGTTGAAACGTGGCATTTGTTTACGCTAGCAACTGTTCGTTACATTCTATTTCGAGTAAGCGAAGCATGTCAAGTATCAATTCTCTTAAGTGACGTTCCATATTCTTTATCAAAGATTTCAATTCTTTCAGTATATATTTCTTACTTAACACAAAGATATTTCAATAAATTCGATGTGCGATACTGCGATGTATAATTAACTTCACGTTAAATGGCATTATGTGTAGAAACTTAGCTTAACTTTAACAAGCCGTTTTGTTGATAAATGATCAACTGGCACTAACGCCATAGGTCACATGTGTGAGTATCAGTGATCTTCTTCTTAAAGTGCAATTACTCAATTATTAAAGAATGAGCTTAAATTCTAGCAAATACTGAAAGATTAAAACATTGCTTAATTGTTTCAAAATTGACTTAGTTCTCGACCGTGTTGCGTGTTCTCAACAGTAGGGGGTATTATTGCAGAGATTGTTTCAATTTCCATTCGAAGATTCGCTTGCATTAATTTTTTTTTTATAAACATAATTTTAAAAATGTATTTATTAATCTAATTATTTGTACAGTTTCGGGTGATTACTTAATTGTTTCGGACGACGAGAAATTCGTTTGCAAGTGGTGGCAGATGTTCTGCTTTTAAGTGCGCTATACGTCGAAGCACTAATTTATCTTACATTAAGATGTTTAAATTCCCTAAAAATCCAACACGTCTAATTAAGAAAGAAAAATAAGTCACGCTGGGATTAAAAAATGAATTTATAGTAAGAAATATCACAATAAAAATTAACTTGTCGTAAAAAAAAATTTTTTTTTAAGAAAACACATGCGGGCAGCTCTACAGCCCGTTAAAATGAAAGGGTCACTTTTATTAATGAACTAGCCAAACATTTATTTCCTTCAATACAAAAAAATCAAAATTTTTAAGAGTCAGCACGTAGTAGAATTTAATACATGCCAGTATAATACACAATTTAGAGCGCAGACAATGACACAACAAAAAGGTTCAAGTACATATGGTTTGATTTCCTTTCTGTGAAAAACATTCAGATTTTATTTTCTTTAAACCGGATAAATTTTAAGAAAATCTTAGTATTTGGCCTTCTTTACTATCTTTCAGGCAGCTGGGCTTTTTAACGCCCTTAATTTATGGGCCCCTTATTATCATCCATAATAATAAATAAATATCATTAAGAAATTTGTTTAAAAACGCATTATTATGTAAACTAAAATATAATGTAATAAAAATTTTAAAAAAATAAATAAAATAAAAAGTAGTTAATTTACAAGCAGTTGAAGTTAATGAAAAGAAACAAAGTGAGGTTTTTGATTTAATTAATTCATTTCAAATTTTATTGTTGAACTTAGTAATTGGAATTTTTCAGTAACTTTACTTAAAATATACATTTTTTCTTTTTTATCATCTAAGCTTTTTGTTTTCTAAAACTGTTATGACAGATCAAAAAGGACAAATTATTTCAAGTGTGAATTTTTTCAAAACTAAATTGAAACATAAGTTTTGTCAACTTACTAAATTAAAAATCTATCCTTCTTTCTAAAAAATTGAAGGAAGCTCAGTAAAGAGTAAATAAAGGAGCTAAAATAAATAAAATTATACGCGATGTGATTAGCACATGGTTCATTTGTTATTTATATACATTAACAACAACCAATTGTTTTCAATAACACCAAACTGTGAAGAGAGATTTATTCAAAGAAACATCATTCATTTTGAATAATCATTTAATATAATAACTGTGTTTAATTAGTAAATAGACTTACTATCAACATGTGCAAAAAAATAAGCCCTACATAATGGTTTTAGCGTTTTATTAATGTGTACTTATTTTTGAGAATAGATTGCTTATAAGAATAAATAAGAAACACACAAAATATGTTATTTTAATAAACCAAAAGAAGAAATAAAAATCCCTTTATATGTGACTTGCAGGTGGCTAAAAGTGACTTTGGCTCTTTTACAATGACTTGTGATAAAATATTCAGACAATACTCTGAGCACGCATCGTCTTTGTAAGTATTGATTTGATAAAGTTGAACGGCGAGTTATTTGGCGAGAAATCGCCAAATGGGAAACAGTGACGTCTCCTTTCTTATTTTATACCTCTCAGACAGGAAAGGCGCGGGAAATGAGTATACTGAGTGATATGTGTTAGCTTTTAGATGGAATGTGTTAGAAATAAAACTAAAAATTAGAATTTTATAGAAATTTAATTTGAACCATGGAGTTGATGAAGAAAGAGATATGGTCTCAGTTGGTTAATTCTTATCCAAGTTGTGTTTTAGAGGAAAGTTCAGAAACTGACAAATTAAGACTACGTCTAAGTGTCGAAGATCTTGGCGAGGTTGAGGATTTTAAAAAGACAATTGGTAGAATTACAAAAACGCAGTGGAACGCAAAAAGGGAAAACTCTGATCCTATGAGGTATGTTTTAATTTTGTCACTGAAAGCTTTAATTTCTTTTTTTAAGCTCTTTTTGTTGACCTGGTTAAATACTTGATTTCAGGTTTACTTTTTGGAAAGCATGGGTCTGCCAACACAGTAAATTAAATAAAGCCTCCACTTCCAAACGGAACGCCAAGTGTCAAGCTAAGTTGTGGCTCATAATAAAAAAGCTCACTAAACACACTTATAGAAAAGACAAGTTCATGAAACTGTCTCCTCCTTTAGCAGTTTTGGTAATTCTTGGCTTGCAGCACACTCATAGTATTGATACTGTTGAATCTCTTAAAATGTTGAGAGTTTCAGACGAAGTATGTATATTTTTATTTTTGAGTAATCATTTTGGGGAAATTTCTGTTTCGTATCCTGCTCCAAAATTTGTCAAGAACCGAGAAGCCAGCGAAAAAACTGGAACAAAAAATCCACAAAAGAACAAGCAATAATTTACGTTGTGTCGAATCTTATTCTACCATGCCCTTCGATTTTAAACTAGGACAAAAACAAAATGTAAAGCGTCAGTAATATCGGGCAATCCTTATCATAAAAATAAAACTGGTATTAAATATTGCTAGTGGGCTGCGCCCCCTGCTCGCTAACGCTCGCCAACCTCGCCAAAATTGCTATACAATCTTATATGGTTTGCTTCGCAAACCAAGCTCGCTTCACTCGCTACTAACTTAGGTACATTGCAAATGCACAACAAAATTCTAAGAATTCAAAACAATCATTCAAATCCATATAAAAACTTTTTTTTCAAATAATTACATCTTTTTAGTAAATACTAAGTCATTNCTATCTAAATTACTTATAAATTTTAAGATTTGATTGAGCATCTTTTTATCAAAACTTCAGAAGTGCAGAGTTTGGCGATATTACTTTGACATGTTGGCGCGTTGAAATGTTCGCGTTACAATGTTACAATGCGCGTTACAAAATAGCATTTGTTTACTTTTCGTTACCAACTGTATAAAATGCTAGTTTGTTTTAAATTTCAACTAGTTATGGAAATTTTTGTTTACAATTTGTTGAAATAAACAATACCTTTTCAGGTGAATATGCGATAATTTTTTCCTGAAAAAGTAATAAATAATAATAAATTATATAATTTGTTTCATTAATTATTATTTCTGAAATAAATGGCATGATCATTATTAATTTTTATATTTTATTTAAGGCATTTATTAAAAGCTGAAGTTTTTTCATAAGTCTTTTTTTTTCTTCATTGACGTTAATTTTTTTAACAATTTCAGATGCTAGACAATGTTTCTTAAAAAATCTGTAATATATCATGTGTTTTCCAATCTTAAAGTTTATATTATTGATACTTTAGTATATACTCTTAGAATAACAGAACCTTCAGAATAACACCAAATGAGCGAGTGACGCTAATTTCGGTGTATCATCTGGCAACCCCCTTGGACAAAAATATGACGGCAGCGCATGCGCTTTTGGATATTGTCATCACTCTTTTCAATACAGGCACTCTATGCCTAGCTTATGCTCTGTCTGGTTATTTCAGTTTCCGTTTATAAAAGCGCTATATGTTGAGCCATCTCAGCTGGATTTGGCATGTGACATTTTNTTATCGGCAATCATTTGTCTATTTTCTAGCGTTGCCATTCGGGGAGTTGTAATGAGGCTTTTTTTTGTCGCCGTGTAAGAGAAATTTATATATAGATGATTTTTCTTCTGCGTAAAATGAGGAAAATAAAATAACGGATTCTTAAATAACTGTAGATACGAATATTGGTTAATCGTACTTAAAATAGAAAATCACCAATTTTTTCAATAGAATGTAAATATCAACTGTTTTTCTTTTTAATACTTGACTTATTATCGATTTAATTAGGATAATTTCTAAACAAATTATGTACAGTGCAAGAAAAAGGGGAAAAAACGGACCACCCTGAATAACTTTTGATCTACCTATACGTAAAAATTTTTCAACGGATTCGAAATTCTGACCCCCAATATATAGGGGGTAGCCACAATCTGGGAGATATCAACTCCATAGTTTGGTCAGGAGAAAGATCCAAAGTTTGAACCCCTTAATGTTAATTTTACTCTTTGAATATTTATCCATATCCAAAGAACTTTTTAAGCGAATTTAAAAATTTTTGGACGCAATTATAAAATTCGTTTGTCCAAAGAAAATACCGTGAGAAAAATAAATTTTAGTTTTTGTCATTTTATTTAATTATAGTCGAAAGAATTTTGAACTGTTTGGTATACAATTTTTTACGTCATTTTAAAATATGTAATTTTACATAGTAAAATACTAAATTTTAGCAAAATTGGTTGAATAGTTTCTGAGAAATCGAATTTTAGAAAAATAGCATATTTAAAATTTGATTTTTATACGGAACTATTCAACTCCTTAAATTTCGTATTTTGCTATGTAAAGTTACATACTTTAAAATGATGTAAAAAATGCATACATTACAATTCAAAATTTTTGAGACTATTATTAAATAAAATAATAAATATGGGGACATATGTCCAAGATTTCGGCTACTCCTTATACTTTGTGGGTCAGGAATCTTAAATCCGTAAAAAAAAAAAAGGGTATGTTTATTCAGAGAAAGTATGTGTTTGTGTATAATTTTGTAAGTTAAAATATCATCTGTACTAAATTAATAAGCATATTTTAGGTCAAAATCTTGAACCATTAAGAGTATGTCTAAAATGTGAAGACCCGATCATTAGATTAAAAGTTATTCAAAGTTGCCCGTTTTTATTTATTTATTTATTGTTGACGCATTGTAACTATTGTTATCACTAATTTCAACAATACTATTTACATACACTAAAAAGTAAATTTTTAAAAAAAAATATAGTGAACCACTGCTATAGTGGACCTATTTCTAGGTGCGCAGACAGTACACGATAACGTAACGGGATTCGACTATATAATTGTATAGCTCTAACAAAAACCGGGAGAGCTGTAGCATAGCCATAGGAGAAATATGGCCCTACTGAGTAACAGCAAAAAAAAATCGGAAATTTCAGAGTTGTCTTTTTAATAATTAGCAATTGTTCGTTTTTATTAATTAGCGAGTGTTTACATTTTTCTAATATTTGGCCAGTATTTATATATTTCTTACATAAAAACGCCTATTAATTATAAAATACCGAAATATTTCATTTTATTGAAAAGAAGGTGTAAATAAAAAAATTTGATTGCAAATTTAAATGAGGAAAGAAAATGACAAAATTTTCCTCTCATTTAGTGCGAACTTGAAAATTTATTCAATAATTATTGTTTTCTTTAACTGTAATTTGTAAAGTAACAAACCGTTTATCACTTAAAAACATTGATTGAAATTTTGCCTATCAAATTTTTTGCATGTCAGCTGCTTTTTGCGCCTAACAGCTGTTTTTCAAAATGGCGAACAAAACTGGAAATGAAAAAAAAAAAGGGGGGGGGAAGTTTTTTTCTTAAAAATTGGTCATAACCTAAAAAAATAAGAAACAGTTGGTTTTAATTAACAGGAAAATAAGCTTTTCCGGGAAAAGAAAAGTACTTAGTATTATCAGTGTTATTTTTAAATGGTGAAAAAAGTACTATGGAGGGGTTAGGCAAATCTGGGGTACTCGATCGACTCGGTGTCTAATAGTTGGCTCCCAATAGTTTAGTGAATTTCAACCTGTTATTTTATGAAATCGAAAAAACTGGATTATAATATGTTTTGAATTTTTTTATTTTTTTTTTTTTATTTTATTGATACGACTCAATAGCTCTTCCCTGAAAGACTTGCAAAATCAGACCGAAATCACAAAAATGTGTTTAGTATAGGCATCTGTCTTTTAAAATTAAAATGTTTAGTTGCACTCGTTTTTAACGAGTCCCGATTTAGTGAGAACCCGGATTTAACGATGAAATAGGATATGCTTCTTTAGTTGAATGTTGGTCAATTGGAGCTTAGCTCGCTTTTAACGAGTAAACCCTAATTTTAGCGAGCAATATTTTTGTGATACATTAAAAGGACTACTTAATTTCAACTCAGCTTGCTACACTCTTCTTTAAAAAACTTGCTTTTTGATGTTTTCGAAGTCGACGAATTTCTTTTCGATGTCGACGATGTTTTCGGGCCACGAGTCTCATGCAAAGAATAATAACACAACAATGAGACACCTTAGAGAAAAATAAATAAAGTATCGTAGAATAAGGCCGAAAAATAAATAAAGTATCGTAGTATAAGCCCGAAAAATAAATAAAGTATCGTAGTATAAGCCCGAAAGATAAATAAAGTATCGTAGAATAAGGCCGAAAAATAAATAAAGTATCGTAGAATAGGGCCGAAAAATAAATAAAGTATCTTAGAATAAGGCCGAAAAATAAATGAAGTATCGTATAGAGAAATAAATAAAGTATCGTATTTAAAAAGCTGGGGTAGCCTGGTTGGCATGGCGCTGGACTCGCATTCGTGAGAACAGTAGTTCGGATTCAGCCGGCCAAAGACTCCTCGTGTATTGAGTGTCTCGGGTCACAAAGTCCTCCATATTCCAATAACAAATTATACCCGGGGGTACTGAATTATAGATTTGTTCGTTCTCTGGTTCAGTTCAAAATTACGATCAGTGGATGAATGATTGGTTGTATAAATGGGTCCACCATATAAACGGATGTGGCAGAAATCGAATTCTTGGACATAGATGGCGCCACTGGAAACAAGAAACAACGACCTACGACAACAACAACAACCATATTTATAATTTAGTTGATACGTAAAAACCCGTTTTGTACGAACACAAGAAAATTTCGGAAATAAAATTCTACTCAAAATTTTATTAAATCAACGAAAATGATATAACTTTTGTTTCATGAAAATTACTATACTTAAAGACGAAATTTGACAGAAAGCGAGGGTTGCAACTTTTTAACGTAAACAATGGAGGGTATTTGTGATTTGCTTACTTCTGTTGTGAAGTAAAGAGGAGGGAGACGGAAATTCCCAGAATTATGCTTACGTATTATTTGAACAGCACTGCAGTTGGCATGGTCAAGACCGATACGGAAATGCCTCCTAGTTTTTTTTTTTTTTTTTTACAGTTTGTTAAATAAAACATTTATTGTTTGATATAGGTAAAGAAAGACTTTAATGACTATTTCTCATGGGGAATGACTATAATCGAAGCCCGTATGCACCATGAAAATAAATTTTTGTTGGCAAACAACTATGAAGATATGGCAAATGCTTCTAAGAATCCAACTCCGAGGCAGGTTCATCATTTGCAAAACAAGTGGAAATCGAACAATTCAGGGGCACTTCCCACCCCATTTGAGAAATTGAAGGAAAGAATACCACTTTATAATTCAAATGGTAAGTATTTTTTGTATATTGTAATCGAAAATTGGTTTTAAAAAAAAGCTTTTAACTGATTTCTATAAATGAGGGTTGCTTCATTAACATACGCTGTTAACAAAAGGCACGCCCTTTTTTAAATGAGCAGCAGGATTGAAAATGGCAAAGGATTTTTCTTTCGTAATGTTTCTCATGTTACATAACATCCTGCTTAAATTCTATAAATACTTTTAGGATCTTTAATTAAAATAATTAATGAATTTTTTGTCGCTTACGTTGAATTTTCTGTTGGACGACACTCCTAATTTTTCTGGAGACAAGGAATCTTAAGTTTTATATTAAAGGTTGTGATAACATAACACCCTGCCAGTGGCGTACGCAGAATTTTTTCAAGGGGGGTGTTCATAATTTTCTGAAGCTACTAAAAGAAATTCGAGTACTTAATAAAGCACTATTATTTCCCTAATTTCGACAGCTAGACAGTTTTGACTTTTTATTTAGACAACATTGTTTAGTTAAATTTTCATTTGATTTTTTAAGTTTAAGAACATAATGTAATATCTTCTGAAAAAAGTCCAATGTCATATGGGTGGGAAGTAACACTTTGAGGGCCACTTTCACATTCATCAGATTTTGTTATGCTAGAAACGTTTTCTTCAACGGAAGTATCACATTTCTGTACAACAGAAAAACTTACATTGT